TGAAGGAGGCGGCCAGTCGAGCTGCGTTAGTCTGCGTCTGTCTGAATTAATTTTTTTCTGCGTGTGCGTGCGGTCTATGGATAGGCACAACCAAATGTTTTTTCTCACTGGCGGCAATGGGAATATCGCCACCGAGCGCGTGACGAGGCCTAACTTTTGGATGGTATTGTCGCGAGTGTACTACCTTAAGTTATTTTAAACCAATGAAAAAAATTGGCACTGAAAATTCAATATATTTAAAGGTTTTTTAACATATTTATAATTACATATTATATACTACATATTATTTATATTTATCGGCTATGCATTATAATGGTGTGTAAGTATATGCAACCTTGACAGGTGATAGTGGCTATTCATATGCAGATCTAAATCTATGGAAGGCCACTATAGTGGCTATAATTATTAATAATGAAAAGCTAAATCCCTTACAGAAATTTAATTCTGCAAGATACCGATTAATTATTTACACTTTTGAGTATTAAAAGCATTGAAAACAATAAGTGCTTTTAATACTCGAAACAAGTAATTTTCAAACAAGTTTATTATATTAAATTGGATTTCTATAAGAAGTACAATACAATTAACGATGGCTTCAGCGTTAGTTAACGTTTGTTCCCTACCTTTACTCCACTTTTGACGCAAGTGACGAAGTGGGGAGAGTAATTCTTATCTCGATAATTCATCCTCTCTCGCGTAATCGCAGACATGAAGTATTCGCCGCAGCAGCAGCAGCAACAGCAGAAGCAGCGGAAGTCGGAGAGCAGCGACGCCGCGTCTATGGATGCCACTCTCAGCCGGACGTCGGCTGCGTCCGGCACGCAGGAGCAACGCAAGGCCTCGTCAACGTCGTCGTCGACACGAGCGCCCGTTTGCCGTTCGCCGTCCACCGGCATGTTCGCCTGGATGCGTGTGTTCCGACTTGCGTCAATGCTGCACCAAGTCGGCTGCTAAGACTCGCTCCTTGATGAGTATTGGACCGTGCTAGAAGGGAAAGATGAGGAAAGAGAATCAAAAAGAAAGAGAGAGAGAAAAAAAGAGAGTCGATAGAATCGTATTACCTTAACAATCTCAGATTAAATAATTAATATCGTACAACACACAGCGGAGACGTGCGTAGCGCACGGGCGCGAAGTGGCAGCCCTGTTTCGTCTTCTTTCCGCGTCGTGATTTACAAATATATATATTAAATATATATATATATATATATTATAAATACGCATATATATTTATGCACGGCCGAGTCATTAACGTAGGGACACGGCCAATGTCGTAGCTCGATCATAGACATCAATAGTGCGTTTACGCGAGGATGAATCGCCGAGATGCGATTCGCCGTGTACAAGATGTCGTTGAGATGTCGTAGCTTGGGCCGCGCCCGCGCTAATCACCTGTCCCACAGAAATATATGAAGATGCATCCCGTCTCTGCCGTATTTCCTTACAGATGATTTATTTATATATCATGTTCCTCTTATCTCTCGCGTAAGGCAGGTTCATTCTTCGAGCCTTCTTGTGTCCATCGACGCAATAAAATTGCCGCTTTTTTTCGTGAAAACTGCAAGTTGATTGGCTACACGGTTCAAGAACTTATACCGATTTCTAGCATCGCGGACAGATTGGGCTTTAACGCGCTTCAATTTAATTAACACTAATGTCAGTTATTATTCCATTCAAATCTCTCATTTCGCGTGAGACTTTTGATTCGCGTTACTCACGGAATTACGAATGCGCATAATTATTTTATTATTAGCAGTCGTGTTACATCGATCCGTTCGTTTCCCTTTTATGAAAAACGGGCACGGCTCCAGTCACGCATACGGAAGTATAACAACAATTCGTGCATGCGTGTTCCGCGAATAATGCGTATCTCTCGCGCGTACCTGTATGTATAAATCGAACTACAAAATGCGGGGCTATGCATAAAAAATTACGTAGTAATTTGAGCAAGGTTCGAGGAATGCAAATCGATCGCGCGAGGGAGATAGTCTCGCAGACGACCAGTCGTGGCACGCTTCGTGACAGATCGGACGTAACAATGACGACGTTATTCGCGGAACTCCAGCCGCGATTAGCCGATCAATCGACGAGATTCGATCGATCCTTATTCGTAGCACGAGCCTCGACGAAATCAGAGACAATTCGTCGTTTTAGTGAGAAGAGCTTCACCCATTCCGGACGAACGCACGTCGCGATTCGCGCGCGCGTCGAATATACGCTTGTCAACAGCGATATGACTCGTAGTCGGATTATAAATATTACACAAAACATAGCGTCGCGACGCTCCGCGAAACTGAGTTTGATTTTGATCCGCAATCCTTTACGATATCTCCTTAAGTTCCCTTTCTCTTCTTCTCGTCTCCCTCATTGCTCGACCGACGACGTCGGCGTATCCTGCGTACCGTGAATTCTATTTTTATATATATTACACGTACAAAAATGACGAGAGAGCGACGTATCGTATTTTTTTTTCTCTCTCTTCCCCCGCCTTTCTCCCCCTCGCCCCACTTCCCCCCGCTGCGAAGCATCTTTTGCTTCTTATCACGAGCAGGAAAAAAATGATGAGACCCGGTTAACAAGGTGCGCCCCTGAGAAAAACTGCGAGAAAGTCACGCCACTTCCTCTAAGGGTTATTCGTGATTACAACCGAATCCACCACACGTTGATTGTCTCGTCACGTTCAACGCCGAGCTCTATCGATGTTATATCTCGTTGATCGTTACATGAATATATTTTATGATTGCGCAGATTCACAAATAAATTAAATATTTGCTTTAATCCGTTCTAAGCGCCTGTTGTTTTTCCCCTTTCAAAGTATTTCAGCGGCTCATTTTGTGAAACGTGCCAGCAAATATGGCATACAAAAGAAACAAAAATATATATGATAATTAATATTATATACATAAAACTTAAATGATTAATTACTAAACTAGTTAGAAGTTTGTCTCTATTTTATAAAGTAGTCGGTTACTGTTTACCTTTTCTGAATTGGAAATTATTTAGAGATAATGATTTCTAACAATTATTTAAACAATATATACATTATCTTAATCTTGATAAATGGAATATTTCTAGGAATAAATAAAATTAACAATCAATTACATTACTTGTAGGTACTTTGCAATTTTTTCTCTTTACCATCCATGGTTTAATCTTCACTAGAAAGGGCGTTATTGCACGAAGAATTTTCCAAGCAAATTTCCGTGAAATTGATATTCTTATTGATAGTAATATTATTGCAGAGTGTCTCGACATTTCTTTACATAATATATAAATGAAATTATCTAGCAAATTTGACATTTTTAGAGGTCACTTGATTTCAAAAATCACGTTAATGAAAAATCCATCATTACACAATAAAGTATATTGTAAATGTGCGACAGTTTTATCAAGTAAACTCCGTGTGATCGTAGTATTATTCGTAATATTATATATGATATATTTAGATTATTCGGAGCGCGCAGTTAATTCGAATATGCAATAATAATTAAAATAAAGAAGAAAGAGATTAAATTTAATGCGGAATAACAATTTCTGTTAATTAATTAATTATTTATAGTAAGAATTATAACTATATACTATTACAAAAGTGATAAACAACACAGAGATGTTTGTTAGCGGATCTCTGACTTGTATACATGCCCTCTGTTTCTATCTATATAATTGCAAGACTGAAAATTATTAGTATAATTATTTCTGAATTATCGACTACGAATATCGTGTTAGATGATCGATATTATACCACACGCGCGCACTGTAAAACGCGTTGCGCGATCTGCCTTATCTGTAAAGGTAAGCGCGTGCCGGACGTAGGCGCCGTGGGGAGGCGTCAGTCGGACATTAACCGAGCATAGCCAAAATGGGTACTGGAGAGATGTAAAAAAAACGTTTTTTTTTCTAATAGAAAAAAACATTAGAAAAAAAACGTGTTTTATTTAATTGAAAGAATACAAATTTAGTTTTTTTTTGTAATTCCGACTAGCACGACTAATTAATTGTAAATAGTAATATATAATATAATTGTATAATTAAGTTTAATGTGATCTAACTTTTACAAAAGGAGAATCGTTTTAATTCTTTTTCTAAACAGCTTTTCCTTAAGTAGAATTTATTATAATTATTCATTGAAGTCCTTGCTTCAAAATATTTCAGAATCAATATATTGGCTTTCTCGTTCTGCGTAAAGGTTAAAATGATAATTTAAATCTACTATCTATAAAATAAAAAATCATGAAAAATTTACTTATATTAAGCAAAATATAGATATTAAATAGATAGCTGAAAAAAAAAAATTTTTTTTGAGAAAAAAATGAGGCTTATGTTTTTTTCATAAAAAAAACGTATTTTATGAAAAAAAAACAATTTGTTTTTTTTCTACTTACATCTCTAGTACTGGGTCGTGTAGCTACGGACGGCATGTGAGAAATGAGAATCGTTGGTCGCGCGTATGGTACGTAAGTCTCTCCCGACGCCCGGTATCACACTTTTTTTCGGTATCGCGGCACAGAGAGGAGGCACCGCGAGCGCGCGCGTTCCACGGATTGCGGCGTGGTGTAAGTATACAGGACGTTCTCGCGAGAGCTGTGTAATTCGCGCGTGCGCACGCACGCGCGCGCGCATGCAAAAGCGGACGAGCAGACGTCGTTGGACGTTTCGACGTGACGCCCGGGCGGCGCGAATTGTGGCAGCGCGACGGCGGGCGGACTTCGCGCTGGTCCGTGCGAGGAGTCGAGTTCAGTCAGTCCCGCGATCCGCGAATGAGACATGCGGCGACCTTTGACTCGCCATCTCTCTGAGGGTAGCGGCGGCGGCGGTGCCACGGTCGATGGCGGAAGTGGCGGCGGCGGTGGCGGCGGTGCCGGTAGACGACAACGCTCGACCGCGAAGGAGAGCATCGACGAGCGCGGGGGATACACCTGGGCTTGCCGCGATTACAGCCATCACCTGTCGTTCGGCGACCTCTTCAAGGCCCCCACACCCCCGGCCGACTGTCGCGGCGGCCGCGCGGCTGCCTCCTCCTCCGCGGAGCTCCGGAACGTCACGATCCACAGGTAGGGTGCTTAACCCCGTTACCTTTTGCCCCCCTTTTTCCATGCTCCCTCTTCGTATCTCCCCGCCGTTTTTTTCAGCTCCCCGCCGCACCACCGTTTGTCGGATTATACCTGCGGCGATTCTGTTTCACGCTCGAAATAATTAGAGCGCAATTCGAAATCTGATCTGAAGTGAGCGTCAGATAATAATCGCTGTTAGAAAGGCCTTGCCAGAGCCTCGACATATTATTATGGCTTATTAAATATGTTGTGCTATCTCGATTTGAGCCGAGCGCTTCCGGCATTTACTATTCTTGTGAAGGTCGAGTAAATACCTTCTATACGAGTGAATGAAATTCATTCGCTAGGATCAACATTGCGTATACATATAGGCATCGCGTTACGCCAAATGTTACGAGTATAAACGTTGCTATTGAAATTCTTGGCGTTTCGCGTAATAAAATCTATTTACTGAAGGATATATCACGAACTTATTGTTGCAACAAACAATAATCTCTAAATCAAATATATTGAAGTAATGCCTGTCGAGCCGACGGATGTGTATTAATTTTCATTATTATAATATCCAACCACATATTTCTTACAATATTCTTCATAATCTTTCATAAATTATCAATAACTGTATATGTAAATCTAAAAAAAAAGTTATACATAATATTAATTCACATTTTATCATTTTATTCTATAATAATAATATTTCCACGTTGAATATAATTTCAAATATAATGTTCCATGTCGATTTCTCGAATCGCATGTCAAGTAAATGACAGGCACCATAATGTTTGCCTTACATAACGAAGGGAGTCATTTATAGGGAGGGAAGGAGGGAGAAGTAAATGACAAGGGAGAGAGACGAGGGGGGGGGGGTAGGAGAGAGGGAACATCCTCATTCCGTCGGCTTGGCTAGTGATCGTCGATCAAGCGGAGATGATCGTTGAGTAATAAATTAGATTCGCTAGGTACCGGGAATTATGCGACATCGCGCGCGCGCGCGGGTCCCCTGAGAGGCAAGTAGGATGGTAGCGTAGAGCGGAAGAACGGAAACGACCTTCAGGAGAGGAATAGCGCACCCCGATCTGCGGGATGACCCCGCTATTTCGATTAGCTAACGGAGGCTACCGTTCGTTGTGACCGGAACACCGAGAACTGGGTCACCAAGGCTTTTTAAGGGCCTCGCGTCCTCCCCCACATTCATGTTCGCGATGAAACGCGTTATGCAAGCTCGACGAGCGATAAACAAGTTGAGAGTTTGCTATTAATAAAACGCTTCCATCAAATTCTTCTAATCTAAAGCTAAAAATCATTTTTCTGACATCTAGAAGAAAAACAAGAGTGCATGGGATTTTATTCAGAAAAAAAATGAATACAATTGCATTTTTCTGTTACATTTGTTGTATCGAAATAATAAAACAGTTAATTTAATGATATTGGTAATATCATTAGATATTATAGTATTAAAGAACTCAGCACTGTTTGATTTTATGTAATATTTTTAACGCTGGATTAAAACGTACGTGGATCCTTACATATGTAATCTTAGATTTTTCGTAAAATGAAGAAGTTAGATACGTGTGCGAAATATTTCTAAGAAGTCCGATATTTGCGGAATTAGGGAAGGTATCCGTAAAATATTGACGTTCAGTCCGATATCGTTCCGATAAGCTGAGCTATCGATAAACGGGTTTCTACCATATTCGATTATCCCGCTAGTAAGATTGAGTCGGTGAAATTCTATTACAGCTTGTAATATCGGCGCTGACCTCAAGAGAAAAGAGATAAAAAGTAATAAATAAATATGGGGAAAGCGCCAAATTCGACCTGGGCTAGGTATTGGTGCTTAATAATAATTTTAATTTTTTAATTTCAGCTATAGTAAACTGCACGTGGCTTTTAGAACGCAATCATAATCTAAAGCTGAAATATCACAAATTAAATTGATCTTTAAATTCGATGATGCTACGCTAAAGCGGCGCGCAGTTTACTGTAGCTGAAATTAAAAAATTAAAAATATTATTAAACCAATATCTAATCTCGACTGAATTTGGCGCTTTCCCCGCATTTATTTGTTGTACACATACATAGCAGCCTCAAAATTCGTGCATAAGTTTATTGCATAGTGGAAGTATTCTTAAACTTACAGGGTTGGCCATATCGAAATTTTCAAAACTAGAACTTACAGGTCAAAAACTCAGGACGTTTTGCAACATCTACAATAATGCAATAATGTATAGATTATTAAAATTGATTAGAACAGTCAATGAAAGTAAGAAACTAAAACCCAATCATAGTCGATTATTCTCCTCACATTCACTATGCTTAGGCTTACTACACTTATTGTGGGACTAAAACAGTAGCAAGAAAAAAATCTAAGCAAAATATTTAGAAGATTCCTTGAAACCCGGACACTCATAATTATCCTGGACGCTTTCAGAAAATCCCCCGGACGACTCCGGAGGCCCTAAAAAAAAAGAGAACAGATGGCAACCCTTAGACACCCTGATGAAGTTAGCCTCTCAACATTAAAAAGAATTAAATTTCTTTAGTTCATTCGGTTGCTCATCATTTGCACATGTATGCACATTTTGATTTTTCGTCTGCACGTCCTTAGTTAAAAAATGATTTAAAAAACAATTTTGAGAGACCAACCTCACGATAGTCTCATTACGAGCAAATTAATTTCAAACAGGCTTAATCGATAGATTTTCGTTTGCACATTTCTAAACAAATCGATTTTTCGTTTGCACACCGTTAATGAAAAAGTTGTTAACAATTAAGGTTTTAAAAACGGTCAATTTTAATAGATAAATACAAAACACTACGTGTTGAAAATGACATTAATTGATAGGTTTTCGTTTGTACATTCTGAAACAGATCGATTTTTCGTTTACACACCTTTAATGCAAACGATGAGCAATCGAATGAGTTCAAGAAATTTAATTTTTTTTTTTAATGTTGGAAACTAACTTCACCAGAGTATCTTAGATAAATTAATGTTTAAATATTTTTTGTATGCATTTTTGAATTTATGTCTTCGTAATGGTAAATTT